TCACGATATTTGGGACTGGGGGGTAATCCGAAAACAAGTTGGGATGTCGAAGCTGGGGGTCAAAGGTTAAGAGGTGTAAAAGAAGGAGGAACATTCCCTCCTTAACTTAAGGTATAGGGAGGAAATGCAGAATTGCGGCACAAATCTAAACGGCTTGACCTAGGCTCGTGATAGTTGGTGTGTAGCATCATGGTAGGAAAAGCCATCACTGTGCCAAAATTGGAGGTCACAGGTCAAAGGTCAATGGGGCATAGGGCAGATTTTGGACATTTTCTGAGGACATGGTCTGACGGAGCGATTGAAAAACTTTTTTGTTTCAGCAGTGACCTACCATTTTTATGGCTTTATTGAAAGGACCATGAAATCTACTTTCTGCTGACATGTGAAGAGTAAGTGTCGGATAACCTTTTGACCCTCAAGAGGAGGGTTAAACATGGATTTGTTTACTGTTAGAAAGAATTTGACTGCCGGGTTTGCTAGTAGAATCTATACATGCCTGGATGTATGAGGCTACACAATGTGAAATTTCAAAAGCTAAATTTGGTTGAAGAAGGTTTATGCTCCTTAAATCGTATAATTTCTATGGCATTCTGTACTGTCAGTGTGTCACATGTAACTTATGCCACTGCCAGTGCATGTGTAGTCTCTGTTTGCAAACTGGTTGTTGAACCAGAGCCTGAGCATTGACAGATGTGACACAAGCGTTAGCAGGTAATAGCACCCAACAACCACTTGAACCTATGAACCCATGTATCACAGATGTATACCCAACACAATATATATTGTGTTGGGCATACATCACAGAGTGACAACCCTAACCTATCAACAACTGCGCCACGTGTTTGTAGTTGCCACCAGCTGACAAAGTTGTTCACTAAATAGCCAGAGCATAGCAAAGCATTAGTGATATATGTTCACTGCATGTCCAGCGAACATGCAGCGAATATGGGTGTGCTGAACCAGTGCTGAACAAGAGAGGATTCCGACAGGCTGCGACTACAATATATATATGACAGAGCGACAACCCTAACCTATCAATAACTGCGCCACAGGTTTGTAGTTGCCGCCAGCTGACGCGAAGTTGTTCGCTAAATAGTGAGAGCATAGCGAAGCGTTAATGAAACGCGTTGTTCGGTAAACTTGATCGGTAAAGTTATTCGGTAAGTTGTTCGGTATGCCTTCGTTCGCTATTCGTTATGGCCCAGTCACACATACACGACGCACGGCCCGCGCACTGGAAAATTAGCAATTTTGGCCAGTGCGTTGTCTTTCGCTGGTTGTATGTCAGCATTCGTTACTCATTCGTCGAGCGCGCTGGACCAACGCTATGCATTCGTTGTCATTCGCTGTGTCCGTCAGGAATTTTTGTGCATGCACAAAAATGTGCGCGGAGCTCGACGCATGAATGTACATGCCAGACACGCGCAGAGCGCGCTGGACCAACGCCAGACACACGCGGAGCACACGCTGGGTATTCGTTGTATGTTCGTCGGCTGAGATGTAGCGAACACCTAGCGCACACCTAGCACACACCTAGCGTGCTTCTAATGCATGTCCAGCGAACATGCAGCGAATATGGGCGTGCTGAACGAGTGCTGAACGTGTCTGTAGCGCACCCAGCGTTCTTCTAGCGTGTTCTTGCGTGTATGCAGCGTGTAGCCATGGGATATATAAACGGGTCCCACCTCCACCTCCTCATCATCACTTCTCCTCCGACCCTCATGGGTGATGACAGAGGTTCCTGCTGATCGTGTCTAGAAGAACCACCTCAGAAGATAGAGGATCCCGACAGACTGCGACTACAATACGAAATCGCGGTTCTCCAATATCAGCAGAACCTCATGGAACTGGCACTTCACCAAGTCCATGTCATCAGGAGAATGAGAAAGAGAAGAGGTCAACGGAGGTTCTGGGTCCGACCGTAGATCGGTAGGTGACGACAGTTTGGCCTGTATGACCAGCTACTTGTTGAACTCCGTAACGAAGACCAGGCAGCCTTCAAGAACATCATGCAGATGCCCCCCCCCAAGATGTTCGACGAGCTGCTAACCAGAATGGGTCAGATGATCACCAAGCAGAATACAACCTACAGAGAGGCCCTCGACCCTGGCCTGAAGCTTGCCCTCACTCTGCGGCATCTTGCCTCTGGGACCAAGTATCACTCAATGTTCTATGGGTGGAGGGTGCCTCACAACACATTATCCCTGATCATGACCTGTTCGTTCGCTGACCTGACCGTTCGCTGGCTGTGCGTTGAATGCGCGGTGCATGCGCGGATCATTCGTTCCGTGCGCTAGCAAACCAGCTTCGACATCCCAACTCGTTTTCGGATTACCACACCCACGTCCCGACTTTCGAATCCATACGTCGAGCCGTTTAGATTTGTGCCCAACTGTTGACGGACGCACGCACGGACGCACACATGCACGCTCATGCGATTCTACAAGCTGCATCTGACTATGTCAGATGTCGAGCTAAAAATGTAAAATAAGATTTTTCTCAGTGCGCGGGCCGTGCATCGTGTGTGTGTGACTGGCGCATAACCGACGAAAGTTGTTCGTTCGCTAATGGCCCAGTCACACATACGTGACGCACGGCCCGCACATTGAAAATTAATCAAAAAATGGGAAATAAGATCAGTGCGTCGTTGTGCGCCCAACTTTTGTCGGGATTTGGGAGAAGCTAGCGAGTTGACAACAAATGCACAGCGTGTTGCTAGCGCGCTGCGCGTATACAGGGCGCATACAGAGCGTATGCAGGGCGCACATGTTAAAAAATCCAACGAATGCACAGCGTGGAACTTGTTCTTGCTGCCAGTGTTTCGACCAGGCCCCCGGACCCCCCCTAGTGACCTGTGACCTCCAATTTCGGCACAGTGATAGCTTTTCCTACCATGATGCTATACACCGACTATCACGAGCCTAGGTCGAGCTGTTTAGATTTGTGCTGCAATTCTGCATTTCCTCCCTAGACCTTAAGTTAAGGAGGGAATGTTCCCCCTTCTTTTACACCTCTTGACCTTTGACCTTTGACCGCACCTGCAGCTACAACACATACGCATCTATTGACTATATATAACAACATTATATATAGTTATATATAACTACTATAACAACTATAGCTACTATAACAACTATAACTACTATAACAACTATATATAACGTTGTTATATATAGTCAATAGATGCGTGTGTGCTGTAGCTGCAGGTGCGGACTTGTTCTTGCTGCCAGTGGGCAGTGGGTCGAATGAGAATTCTTGCCGAGGTGGCCCCTCAATTGCCAGTAGCAGCAGCGCCTCCAAAGCTGACTCACTCAGCCTGTTCCTCGTGTAGGTAGCCATTCCCATTAAAAAAATTTTTTTTTAATCGGGGCGGAAATAATTTAAACGTGGTGCAACGATTGAAACGGGGGGGGGAGTTTTCCCAAACGGGGCGGGCGCGCCCGGTTTGCGCAACGTAGGGAGAAGCCTGCTGTTGTTGTGTGAGGTGTGAAAGATGGATTTATGATATAGGTACTCTCTAGCTGGCAGGGCAGCTAGGTAGCTAAATAACTGACTGACCGTTTGACGAAATAGATGACTGACCATCAAAACAAGTAAAGCCTGGTGCACATTGCCGAACATTTTGCTCAAAAACATTGTTCGGAAGAATGTGCCATGAAATGTTCGTATATGTGCGGTGAAAAAAGTCGCCGAACATTTGTTCCGAACAATGTTTCTGAAAATCGGAAATGTTTGATTTCACGAACATTGTTCGTCAATGTGCGTTCAAGAACTTTTTCACCCGCACATGGCCAGACAAAAACATTTGTTCGGGAAAATGTTCGGCAATGTGCGCCAGGCTAACTACATCACATCCGTGCACTTATTTGCATTATCATGTTTTTGTGTTTAAAGTTTATGTGGTAGGTAAAAAGAAACATAAAATACGTTATTTTGTGTTATTGTATATGCTGTTTAGTGTTTACACATTTCAGCAGCTTCAACTCTAGTTCACTTGCTCAATTTTGAAAAATTTCATAAAAATTGTTGCTTTCAGAAGAATCCAGGGGCGTGTTTCACTAACGTTCGTTCGCTATTTTTCCTTTGCTATTTTCAAAGTTGATCGGTAAATAGCGAAGAACACGTCCGCGCGTGTTTCACAAAGCTCCGTTCGCTAAAGTTATTCGTTATTTAGCGAACAACTTTACCGACACCTCTGCAGGGTCTCGGTAAATTTAGCGAAAGACTTGCGGTGTATTTAAACCGTATAAAAACATAATGTAGCGCAGTGTGCGCTGTATATTGTAGCAGCGATGTTGCGGAGGTTGTTTCAGATAAATGCACCTAACTTTACTACAAACGATAGTGCCTAGATAGGCTAGATAGATAGTGCTAGATAGGTCGCGAGCGCTGGCACACCGAGCCAACCAATATGTTTAGCGTAACCTAGCAACAACTGCGCCGCGTGTTTGTAGTTGCCGCCAGCTGACGAGAAGTTGTTCGCTAAATAGCGAGAGCATAGCGAAGCGTTAGTGAAACGCCTTGTTCGGTAAAGTTGATCGGTAAAGTTATTCGGTAAGTTGTTCGGTATGCCTTCCAAATAGCGAACAAACAACTTTCGTCGGTTAACGAATAACTTTTAGCGGACGTTAGTGAAACGCAGCCCAGTGCTTTAGAGTGCAGATGATTTGCGCTGTTAAAATGTGCTCACTACTATACTCCTTTGTCTGCGAGTTGCACTAAAAGTGCATCCAGTGTGGGTTACAAGCCGTAGGCGTAGTCCCTGTAATAGCCCTATTTAAAAAAATTCTGTTTATTGGCGTTCATCTTCATAAACATTGTTTTAAATGATAATGTAATTATCAATAATAAATTTAGAAGTGATCACAAAACGAAAACTGAAAGAAAGTGTACATTTGAGACCATTTCATTGAAAAGGTTGGCTAATGAATTGTGATTTCGTATTGACATACCTGACGTAGACATTTGCTTCATTTTCATGATATCTGGAAAGGCTAGGCTGTGTGTCTGTATGTAGTCGACCGGCCACAGGGAGTCATATACCAGAATACTTTCCGAGTGAATGAAATAAACGTCAGCATTCACTGACCAGTCTGGCTGCACCAGCGCACAAGGATGGCTGAAGCTCATCAGGCAGTTGCATTTACATTCCAAGTTACACACGATGGACTTGAGGTAGATTTTGACCATGAAGTGATCGCTTCTATCTGGAACAGTGGGGTGCGATCACTGTACAAGAATTTCCAAAGACATTGGGTAAGAAAGGCTTGGTGCCAAAATAGCTAAGCATAATGAATACAAGAATGTTGTGTCGATTTTGGTGTGATTTTACACAAGAAACAAAAGTTTCATGATTTATTGAGGCACTTCTACATAGATTTTTTACAGGCGCATTATTTGTTCATTTTCTATTAATGCTGAGTAAGAGACTAAAGTGAAGTGCCCTCTGTTTCATTTAGTAAAAATTGTTTTGCAGGTCAGTGTGTGTGTACCTAGGTTTTGATGCTGTTTCTTGATTTCAGTCCTGTTGTTACTTATAGGTGTTATTTTTGTACTAAGGTTTGTCTGAAACTATAGTATATGCTAGATTTTAGCTGGTAGGGTTTCATCTCTTTCCAAGTGTCTTATCTGCCTGGTGTGATTAGCAGGAAACTGTAGCCAATAATTGAAAATTACAATTAGGATGTACGAATGGCACTGCTTATAGCCACAATGTGCTACAAATTCAATATTTTTAGCTGGCCTTAGGTCGGATTGCGATTAAATGCGACGCGACGCGACACATTGCAACTAACTGCGACTGAGCGCTTAAGGCCCCCGCACACAGTGAGGTTCGTGCTGAGCACGGAGCGTGAGCTTCGTGCTCAGCAGGAACCTCATACCCCCGCACACGCTGAGTTGTCAGCCTCGCGAGACCAAAATTCGCGGGTGCCACTCTGCCAGGTGCATGGGTGCACGAAGAGGTCACTGGAGCGGGTGCACGGCAGAACCAATTAAAATGCGCAGCCATTCCGGAACAACTAAATACGCATGCGCCGACACTCAGCAGGAATCTCACACCTCCCGTTGTCAGCCTCACGAGACCAAAATTATCAAACACGACAGATATTTTCCTCACCACCTCGCGAGACCGAAAACTCGGTGTAATCGACTCCGCACACGGTGAGGTTCGTGCTGAGCATGAAGCTCACGCTCCGTCAGCAGTACATGTACTTCCAGTCGTGCGAACATCGTGTGCGAGGGCCTTTAGGTCGACAGCGACGCGACTGACAGCGACGAGCAACGACTACTAACGCTGGCAGTCGCAGGCAGTGACGCGATCGTCATAGCGAGTTGCAACCAGTTGCAGAAAATCAGTCGCAGACAATCGCTTCGCCGAAGGCCGACCTAAAACGTAAAAACTGGTCTAGCTTGACCGGTTAATAGTGGAGGTTGATAGGCTAAGTAGTGACAAGTACCCGTGCTAATGCAAACATGATTGTGTTTCAGCATGATTTGAAAGCTGGCATCTACCCTCTGGAGCCTCACACGTTACTCGTGTGCATCCTGCTCTCATGGGGTTTACGTGCTGGTCTCGGGATTGATATGTCGCTCGGTTCTGTTGATCACATATGTCATCTTATTCCATGGTTAGTGACAATTTGCAGCCTTACATGTATTAAGCCTGCCTAGTTATACAAAGTGTGAAAATTTGCGCTATCTATTCTCTGGTCAGTAGGTGGCTCTTTAAAATGTAGGTATGGAATTTTAAGCATGCTGACAAAAACCTTGTTCATTTAGCAGCAGAACTATTTCTTGGTGCTTGCATTAGGACATGTCATTCATGATTTAAAATAATGTATTTTTATTAAAATGATTTCAGATATAAAATCATTCGAAGTGAGGTTGAACCTGCTCATGACCAATGCCAATATCTTTTGTTTCCTCTTGCCTTGCAACTTGCCTGTTGCCTTGCAACAGATTATTTATGAGCACAGTTTACAAACAATGTTACAGGGTGCGAAATTAACGCGAGTCCGGAGTCAAATACTCCCTGATTTACTGACGGACTCCCTGATTTGACATATGCA